CTTGGAATTAACCTTGTAAATTATTTGGGCATAGTTGTTTTACTCATATTGCAACTCAGAATTTGTGCTTTGCATGTACGTACTCAGAGATACAAAAAGGAGTTCTCTGAAGTTTCGCTGTGGTTATGTTGATTCCAGAAGTGGCTAGATTGTGTGGAGTTACTTCCTTTTCTTGATAGCTTATTTCACCCTCCCTAGCCTGGACCCTGCTCTTGGGGATTCTCTGCTTTGAGTAGATGTTGTATTACCTTGTCTGCCTCTCCATGTTCTCTGGGCTCAGACTTTTGTTTCCTCTTATTCAAGATCTTGAAGTTGACTCTGGGAGGGATGTTTGGCAGAGGTCATATCCTCTCATAACTCTAGTGACTTAATCCATTGAGAAGGAAGCTGAGGGCTCCCACTTGGTATTTTTTGTTCAGCCACCAGTTTATGAGTCCTTGTGTTTTCTTATGACCAGTGATAGTTTGGCAAGGCACCCACAGAGCCTCCTGGAACTCCGACAGATCTAACAGTCATCTCAGTCAAACTGATCCTCATAGCTGGCCTACAGCTAGTGCTGTACTAAATAATTGTTAGAGCTAGAGGTAATGATTGTCACCTTGAGTTACTGAAGGCAGCTGCCTGAAATTAGTGATTTTAGAAAAATTTGGGCTCAGCTTTTGTGGTTAGATGGACTCAACAGCAGAATGGGCAGCAGGTATTCCTGCCAACTTGGTAGTCTTTAGATAAGTTATTATTCTGAGCCTCACCTGTTCCACAAGTACAACAAGGTAAGAACAGTTGGCTCACAGAGTTGGATTAAATGCCCATTCTAGATGCATTTGAAGCCTAAACACCTGTTCTTTTTTCCCATTTTAAATATTTTCAGACCTTAGTAATCAAATTAGTGAGGCAAGCCCATTTTGTAAGATGTGTAATTCAAGGCAAGGCCATGGTGGCAACTTGGTATCCCCTAGATCAAAGCCTGATTGGTTGTTCAAAGCTTCCTAAGGAGGTGGCCATACACCAGTGTTGGTAGGGGACAATTCCTGCTACTTCTCCTAAACTTTGTGCTGGGTTTGCCCTTGAAGATAGCTTCTCCAAGCTGACAATCAGAAGTGACTTGTTTCGAGTCCATCTGTTTGAATGCAGACACTGAAAGCAGGATTGAGCTGTGATGGGGACAATAATGTGAATGGCATTCCTCCAACATGTTCTGCATCCCTGGGGTGACTCTTCCTGATCATTCACCCCATTAATGCTGATTGGGTTACCAGCCTCCTGCCCCAGTGCACTTCAGTTGTGCAAGGCTGTGGTAACATTAATGAATATGGTTCTGGGGTAGATACACCAGTTTCACCATCTTTTATTGGATACAGAGCCATAAATTCTCTGATGCCCATATGAGTCCTTTTAAATACATACACTCAGGTACATTCGGCAAAGGGCATTTATGGGTAACATAGAGCAAAGTGCTAGGATGGCAATGCCTGGATAGGGCAGAGAAGTGGGGCCAGGGAAGGCCCCCTGGGGGCTGGAGGTACAGGCACCACTTTAGAAATAAAAGTAAAACCAAAAGTTGCTCTCCACCCCTCTGCCTGGTGTGCTTGGGGTAGGGGAAGCTACCTCTCACACAGCTCAGGTCCTTGCAGCCTGGCTGTGTGGGGAAGGCGGGGCCCAGAGGCCAGTTGTGGAGGTCCCCACCAGCAGGCCCCCTAGAGCCAAGCCTACTGGCACCATCCCAGGCCAAGCCTGAGTCACTTCAGGCCTCTGCCCCTAGGTACAAGACCACTGCTGGGGCAGAGCTTAGGCTGGTGGCCCCATTCCAAGCCTCCCTGGGGCTGTGCTGTGGTGACAGGAGAGGCTTGGCCTTGTGGTGGGAGCCTGCCTGATTGTCAGGGCAGTCTTGGGACTGGCCAAAGTCCCAAGGAGTTGGGGAGGGAAGCCTGGTATTCTGATCTTCACCCAACCCTAAGCCTTATCCTCAGGCAAGGGCTGCAGATGAACACACTTGTCCAGGAATCGATACATACACACGATACACAGCAATATGTACAGGAAAGCAGGCCTGGAACAAGGCTGGGTGAGAAAGCATGGCCACCAGGGGTCAAGAGAAGTGCCAAGACCCTGGAGGAGGGAAGTCAACACTTCTCAGGGATTGGCAGGCCAAGACAGATCCCATGGGTGGGAGTTAACTCCTCTGGGCACTTCGACCATACCCCACTCACCTCCTGTTTCCACTCCAAATTCACCAGGAACTGGGTCTTTGGCACCAATAGTCACTCTGGGAGGGTCTCCTTCAACTTAGCGCCTTAGAGGGATTGGGGCCTTGGTGGCTCCCCCACCTGTTTCCAAAGGATTCGAGACCAGGGGGATAGGCAGGATCCAAAGGCAAAGGACAGAGCCACATGTTAGAGCAGCAGGCCTGGGGCAGGAGGTGTCTCTTTTTTTTTTTTTTTTTTAAGCAATTCCTGAGGGACTGATTCAACTTCTGCCATCAGGGCTAAGAAAACATTAGAGGTCATGCTCTCTGGGTGGTCTTTCTGGCTAATGAAAAGCAGAGGTCTTGGGCAGCCCACTTTCCCCTGTAGGGGTATGTATTATGCATCTTTACTGTTTGCCAGTGCTGAGGGAAAGCAACTGGAATAAAGCATGAAGTACTCAGGCCAAATGTGCCCACCTTCCAGGTGTTGGGGCCAGGCTATATGTGTTGAAGTGCAAAGGACATTAGATGGCACCTTGGGATCTCTCCATTGACCTGGGGTCCTTGGAGCAGGGCCTGCCTTGGTAAGCAAAATGTCATTATTCCTTTTTTTTGCATCCTATAAAGTATGAGATTAAGGGCTCCCTTTTAGGAAGTGAAGGTGAGATGAAACACTTCTGGAAGACAGGCCCTCTGGTTTCCCTCCTTGGCCCTAGCTGAATGGTTGCCATGGAAGTGAATAAATGGAGCACCCAAGCAAGTAGGTTTCCTGTCCAGCAGCATGGCTCATCCCCAGAGGAAACGAATAGCATCAAGGTAGGAGGCAGGAAGCTGCTGGTTCTCAGCATACACAAAGGCCAGGGCATACAAGGCTGCCAGTCCAGGGGTGGGTGTGCAAGGGATACACTGTGACTTGTCATTTACATTGACAAGGGCTTGGGCCTGTACCATATGTACTCCCACACAGTTCTCACTCACATAACCCGAAAATACTGGATGAACTTGGTGGGTTTCCTGGAAACAGACCTGTGAGAAGGCCAACTTCACCGGGCAGGAGAGGGGGCCTGTTCTCCCTTCTGCCCCTAGTGCTGGTGGTATGCAGTGCTGTTATGTGAATAGCATAGTGAAGGAGCCTGTGACTAGCATCAGCACCCTTCCACTGAGCTTACTGCTTTTGCCACCTGATCTTTCCCAAGGCTGATGCCAGGTACTCCAGTGAGTGCCACTCAGGGAGAAATTGCCTAGAGCCTTGTACTCAGTGATGGAGGCTCTCTGGGGCACAGAAAACCCTTATGTTGGGCAGGCTTAAACCAAGCAGGAGATCCCTTTGTGCTTTGTCCAGAAGACAGGGAGGGTGGCACTTTGGTCCTCGAGTCATAAGGAGCAAAGGCCACAGGGCTACAGTTGGTATGACAAGGCAGATGTACCCAGGGAAGCAAGGGCCTGAGTAGACCTTGACTTCCCTCCCAGGCCCTTGGAAAAGAGAAAGTTGTGCTGCTCTTTCCTGTATCTCTTAGGGACAGGACTGGGGAGGCGGGAGCTAATGGAGGCAGCTGCAGGGACTAGGAGTGGCGGTGTGGTGCTACACACAGCCAAGGCTTTGTGCAGGACTGGACAGAGGGATGCTGACATGACACCCTTGGTAGCCCAGGTCTTCCAAGGGCAGGAACATAGCAGGCCACAGGAGGAAAAGTCAAAGCAATGATGAGAAGCCAGGACACCTGGGGCTGCTGGGAGCACTGCTGAGGCCAGGCATCGGGGTACAGTTCTAGAGAACTTTTACAAGGTGACCCAGCGCTGGGCTAGATGTTCAAGCCAAGTGGCAGCAGAATTGGGTCCCTGGAAAAGCCTGGGAAATGAGAATCCCAGATCCAGTCAGGACCAACAGCCTAATGGCAAGGCTGGGAACTGATCTTATACAGGAGTGAAGAAAACCCTAAGATGGATTTAGGTCATGTTGGGAAGAACTATCCAAATAGGTTGGCAGGACCCCCCAGCCTTTGAATCACTGTGGTAAATCTGAGGGGATAAACTGGGGTGACCTTGGTGCCAGAACCTGATCCTCTGGGGATTGTGCAAGGGCCAGTGAAAACCCCCAGTGGCATTCTGTGGCTTCTAAGCCCTGAGGCAGAAGACCCCAGCTGCAGCCTTAGCCTGTGGCTGGTGGAGACTGAGGAAGGGGCAAGTCTGTTAGGATGCTCTACCTCTTCCTTGGCCCTAGGTCTGTCCTTGCCAAAGCCACATCCTCAAGCAAGCTAATTAGACAGGAAGCAAAGTCAACCACCCTCCTCTAGGACCCAGCACAGTGGGCAGCCCAGTGCCCCACTCCCAGATAGCCGGGACCCAAAGGCCATCAGATTCCTGCCCAAGCACCTGGATTAAAAGGAAATTCCTTCTCACTACAGGCAGGCCTCCCAGGGCTGGCACCTTCACCCTCCCTTCGATTTCTTGAGAGTGATTGGTAGGTATAGAAACATGCACCTTTTAGCTCTGAGTTTCACTCTGGAGTGTGTGTGTCTGGGTAGGGGAGCCTTTCTTACAGGAAAAAGTAAGTTTTCTCCACCTAGCAGCAGCCACCCCCATCCCCTTTTGTGCCCACCTTGGGAGGAGTGGTCTCATTCTGGGGAAAAGTTCTAGGTAACTTTTTTCCTTCCAATCCTGCCACCAGCTTTTTAATGACTGTACCTAGGTCCCTAGACCTGCCTGGGTTATCCCTGGAGAGTGTAGACCCAGGGCCCAGGCAAGTTGTGAGAATGGGTGAAACAGGTAGGAGAGAAGAGCCCTCCCTGCCAAGTCTGAGCTGCCTTGTGGGGTCCCCGGGGGCTGGAGCCTCAGGAAAGACAGGCCTGCCTGAGCAGCTGAGGAGCCACTGGTAGTTATTGCAGATCCTCCGAGTGAAGACACCAGTGCTGGTGGTGACAGCTCCTCGCTGGCTGTGCCAGAAGTCTGCTCCAGCGGGGATAGGGTGGGGGTCAGAGGGCAGCTTCTGTCCAAGCCCCTGCCTTGGGTCAGACCTGTTGCTCTGCTGTTCCAGTAGGACAGGATACTCAACCCCTCCCTGGAAGCTGGGATAACACTAGGCCTCCAAAGGTCTAGTCCAAACCAGGATCCCTCTGGAGGTACAAATAATGCCTTGGTGTGGGGCTGGCAGGTGCCCTGCCACCCCCTGCCCCCCGGGTTAGCAGCCGCCTTCCACCTTGATGTGCAGGATCTTAGAGAAGCCAGGCCTTCGTCGCAGGGCCTGTGAACCAAGCCCTGAGTTAGTTCTCTTGCAAAGCTGGTGGGGTCCTCCCTCCACACTCATCCAGGCCACCAGCCCCAGCCTAGGAATGTCACTTGGGGATCTTGGTTGGCCTCAGAGCCAACCTCTCACCTGGAGTTTTGTCACCATATCCTCAAATAGCTTCTGAGCCTCAGGGCTGCTGGGCTCCTTGAAATAATCAGCAATTCCAATTTGGACCACAATGGACTTGAGGTTCCGACAAATGCCTGGGGAAAGGTGGATAAGGAGGCCCCATGTTTGGCCTGCACATTGGGGCTACCACCTCTCATTTCACTGATTAATGACATCAGATACCCCCTGAGGAACCATCATGTGGCAGCCACAGAAAACAAAAGTACAGCAGGCCTACGATGGCCTGGGATGCACAACTGGACCAGGGAGAAGGTGGATGAAGGCACTCTGGGAAGACAAGTGGACAACAGCCAACTGCTCAGCAGTTCTAGCAAATTCCCTGGCAGAGGGGACAGTTTTACCCTGGTCTGGACACTTGGAAGTGATTATAAGGAACAGAGTGGCTGAGAGGAAGCTTGAGCATGAGGGTGGAGGAGATGGGGACAAACCAGGCAGGCTGCACAGGGTTTACAGGATGGGATGTGGCTGCTGACTAAGGTCAAGGGCTGAGGAGCCTGGAGAGTATGAATTTGAGGCTGAGCAGTTTGTCCTGATGGTGTATCCAGGGTGTGGACATGAGGCTGAAGGGGAGGGGAGAGGAGGGTCCTGGAGGTGATAAGGTAAAGGAACCTTCAATCTGGGAACAGGGTCTTCCCAAGGGCCACAAAGTCCTGGATGATGGTCTCATTTCGGGGAAGCAGCCCAAGCTGGGTACCTTTGTCCTCAGTGAAGGCAGAGAAGTGACAGAGTGGAGAGTGGGTAGTATTAGGTGAAGGGCCAGAGGAGGCCTAAGAACTGTCCTAGGGAGCTTACACACATTACTGCCCACCTATTCTAAGAAAGTCAATGAATGAGAATGTAAAACTCAGAGAGGTAGAGTAATTTGCATGAATTCACAGCTAAACGAGCAGTAGACCCAGAGATGAAACCCAGATCAGTCTAGCTCCAGAAACTGCACTTTTAATCTGTCTGCTCTCTTGCCTCAGCCCTGGTGAAGACTTACACAGGGACAATTTCTGCATGGCTTCTGGCTCCAATGAGACTATGCCAAAGCACAACAGATATCTTTGGAACTGGACTATTAGGAGTGGATACTGGCAGGCTTGGAATGCCCACTGGCCTAAGAAGACACTGCTGGCAAAGCCAAGACCAGATATTGCTGTCTGCCCCCCCAACCCCATGCTGGTGTTTGCTGATTAGAGCATCAGGGAATTGTTTATGCTACCTGCTGACAGATCATGGTGACAGGTGAAAGCCATATCCTGCCCTGCATTCCCCCATTACTCACTGTTGAAATGCAGTAGGGCCTTAGGAGTGACAGGGGTGGCCGTGAGTACCAGCATCTCTAGTCCCTTCAGGCCTTCCCGGCAGACCTCAGCTGCCACCTCCTGGGTGATCTCTGACACATGGTCCAGCTCCAGGACCTGCAGCCGCATGCAGTTTCTTGCTAGGAAGAGGAAGAAGGCAGGCCCTGCTGACAAACTCCCTAGGTCACTTCCTGCCCACCAGGGTGGTCCCCTGCCACCACCCAAGATGCAGCCCCAATCCCCTGTAGAATTTTGCAGGATATTATTGCACCCTTACCAGCTTCTCACCTCTCCCCACCCCAGTCCCAAGGGACTCACCAAGTGATGCCAGGCCCTGCACCCCACAGCCGGCGCCCCCAACCCCCAGAGCCCGGAGGTGGGGCCAACAGCGACCGATCATCTGCAGGCAGCGGTTACTGAAGCGCGTGGGCTGCTGGCTGGAGAATGGGGAGGGGGCAGTCAGGGAAGCCTTTGGATGCCTGATGCCCCAAGCAAGTGTATTCCTCTTGGGGGATCCCTCCCTGCCTCAGGCAAGTACCCCGACAACAACCCAGCTGGCCAAGTCAGAACACTGGCATCATCCCTGACTCGCCCCTCTCACCTCTTGCCATGTTCTGCAGTTTCAGATTCCTGAGTAACTCCTGTACCACAGTTTAGACCACCATTGGATTCAGCTAGATTACTACCAGTCTCCCTGCCAATCCATGCTCCACAATGCTGTGCACCATTCATTCCTACAGCCACTCACTGTGTCATTCAGCAGATGGTTATCAAGTGTCTGCTACAGCCGAGAACAACTGAGCCAGGCCCTGGAGGTGTAGTGGTGACAATGCAGACATGGTCCCTGCCCTCAAAGCATGGGCAGTCTATTTTACAGAACTTTGGCAGTCTAATCTCAGTACTTTACTTAAAACCTAAAATTCTCCAATAGTCTCCCAGTACTTTCTAGATAAAATGCAAAAACCTAAACCCCTTAACATGGCCCTGCCTGCCCTCTCCCAACCTGCTTGTCCACACCAGATTTGCCATTTCCCTGAACATCAGACTTGCCATCTCTCAACATTCACTTAAGCTACGCACTTGGTACCAGGGATACAGAAATGGACATTCACAGACTCTGCCCTGAGAACTACAAGTCTAATGTAGGAGACTGAAACAGAAATAATTGCAAAACCAGTAACAGCAGGTGTCAGGACAAGATGCAATGGGAATCAAAGCAGGAGCACAATGACTGCTTCCACCAAGGTGTTAGGGAAGGTACACTGGATGAGCTGGGAGGGGCCAGCACATGGAGAAGGATTGGAGGGCAAATAACAGGGAGGGTGAAACCTGTTAGTCTGAGGAACTATAGGTAGAGTGAGGGATGATTTCACACCCTGAATTCTCCAACGATCAGCTCTTATATGTTACATACTGACCCAGAATTGCCTGTTGTGTGTCAAACAAAACCCAGCTACTTTTAGCTGTGTTTACTGAACACTTACTATGGGGCCCACAGGCTCTGTGGTATAATCTCACTGAAGCCAGTAACAGCTCTAATAAGGTCAGTAGATTCCTAATATCACCTTCACTTTGCAAGTTGAGAAATTAACATGTTGCTCACAATGGCACTGCCACTAAGCCAAGACATGACTTCTAGGTCTAATTTTAAAGCTCTGTTCTTAATGCCTCATTGTGCAGATTAATGTGTGTGAGCCTGTCTCTTCAACAGCTTTTGGAATGGGCTCAGATCTGTCCAGTCCTCAGCCCCAGACCAGGTCCAACCCTTTCCCTTCCCCACCCACCCAGCCTGAGCTCACCAGGGGTGAAGAGGTGCCACCTGGAGGGAGACAATCTCTCTGCAGCCTGCACCCAGAGCCCAAATAACTTCGTGGCCCACTGGGTCTGTGGCACTCCTGTTGAAAAGACAAGGCTGGAGTGGCTCATCCTGGTGGTTTCTGCCCCTGTCAATCCTTCCTTCCCTTAGGTCACAGAGCTCTTGGGTGCCTTTGTCTGAGGACCTGGGGAAAGGCCATGCAGTGTCTAGGGATCCTTGGGGTCCCAGGCCAATAGGGTATAGGCCTTGCTTCTGGTAAAAGGAACCCACCTGTAGGTGACAGCCTGCAGGGCACGACAGTAGCAGCTGGCCAGCCAGAGTGAACGGTCGGTGAGGATGTTGGGACAGTGGGAGATGCGCAGGATCAGCAGGTTCCCCCCAGCTGCCTTCAGCAGGGACTCCAGCCCTGCTTCAAGGCAGCCCCTGGGGATGACCAAGAGGTCACCTGCCTGTGGTCACCTCCTCCTCTGGGAAGCATCCCCACTTCATTCCAAGTCTGGGCCCAGGAGCACCCGCCCACCCACTGCAGCCTCACCGGGTGCTCCGGGCGTACTCCTCCTTGCTCTCCTTCTTCCCCCTCTGCCGGGGCTTCAGGTTCTGCAGGGTCAGTGAGTGGGCCTGCGTGCACCACTGAGCCAGCATCGCCAGAAACTGCGTAGAGAGGGAGGGTACATGGAGAACAGGGGGTCTGCACTTGGCTGGCTGGAGAAAAGCCAGCCCCAGAACAGGAGGCTCTGTGAGAGGATTTGGGGGAGCCAGGCTGGAGCCAGGGCTGCAAGGACCAGATTCTGCCAGGGGGAAAGGTGGGTTCCTAGCAGGGCAGAGGTAGGCACCTTGGAACACACTCTCGCATTCTCTAGCAGCACCCTTGTCCAGACAGCAGGGTGACGGGCCACGAAGCGCCAGTCCCGGCAGACCTCGGCAGCATGCAGCAGTGTGCGTGTGTCCAGGTAGGTGAAGATGCAGAACAAGGCAGCTCGCATCTTAAGGATCTCTGGGCTGATGACCTCGTTGGAGCGTGAGGGGCTACCCCGCTCCGCTCGACGGCCTCGTCCACTGCCTCCCTCGGGGCGGGCTGCAAACACAAGGGAGCAAAGGTGACAATAGAAGGTCAAAGGCCAGGGCAAGGATGTGGGTGAGGAGCTGGGGCAGAGTAGGAGCTGCAGGAGAAATGGGCATAAGACCCATGCTGGGGGAACCAGTGGCTTGGGAGGAAGGTCAATCTGGTTCCCCTCCGCTACGGTACAGCCACCCCTAATTTTACATATTAGCAAAGGTATTCCTTCCTCATATAAACTTTCTTTTTTAAGAGTCAACACTGGGTTGGGGTTGTGGCTCAGTGGCAGAGCACTCGCCTAGCACGTGGAAGGCCCTGGGTTCGATCCTCAGCACCACTTAAAAATAAATAAACAAAGGTATTGTGTCCAACTAAAAAATAAATATTAAAAAAAAAAGTCAACCCTGACCCTAACTCTCTACCCTCCTGATGCCTCTGCATATGTGTGTGGCCTGTGTGCAGATGGGGCTCCCCACTGCACCGGGAGCTCCAGAGTCTGGAGTCAACACTCTCCTCTACATGTCACTGAGCTCCTCATGTATACAGACCCTGTCCCCCAATGTACCATCCTTGCACTGGCTACCCTGTCATTCAAGTCTCTGCACCAGGCTGGAAGGGCACTTCATAGGAGGGGTGGGCAGGTCTGGAGAAGAGGAAGGGAAGTGCAGGAGGTCAGAAGATTTGCCCTCTTAGCCCTTTCCCCCCCCCCACCCTGGGAGGGCCCAGCACCCTGGGGAAGGCTGGCCTCTCTGCCATTCCTCTCAGGACTTACCTGAAAGCCGGCAGCTGCTCACTTGCCCAGCCATAGCAGGCCTAGGGCGGGGGACATCTGAGGGGCCCTCAGCCTCCGACTCCGTGGTTCGGGAGCCCACGTCTGAGACATCACCCTCCTCCCCCTCAGTGCTGTGTCTGCGAGGTCTGCGCTGCCAGTTCTGGATGGCCTGGCGCCGTAGGCCTGAGCTTCGAGGGGCCTGGGACCGCTCTGAGCCACCATTGGTAGCCTGGGCCCGTGTGCCCAAGCCCCCAGGGCCACTGTCTTCAGGTGCCCCCTCCTCTGGCCGGGGCAGCTCCAGGCTGTCACTATCATAGCAGCCTGAGCTCTGGGAGGCAGCTGGCACACGGCTGGAGGCCCTGGGGCAGGGTGGACCAGATGGTGAGGGGTGAGGGGCGAGGGGCATCAAGTTGCCAGAATTCTCCACCCTCCCCTTACCACAGATCAAGGGCAACCCATCCGCCCTGCTTCCCAAAAGTTCCCTCTGAGTATGGAAAGGCAGATAGGTGACCCAAGGAGAATGGGCACAGGAGGAGAGAAGCCCCAGATGGCCAGCAGATCTTTCCAGGGAGAGGGTGGGCTGTGTAGGGCAGGGCAGGCCCCAGGCTTACCCTGTGCTGGGAGAAGAGCCATGCCGTGATACCGCGTATGTGTTAGGCACGGCCGGGCCCGCGTGGTGCTCTCGCTGTGGGCCCCCAGAGCAGGAGGGAAAGGAAGGGAGGCAGAGGAGGCAAGAGGATGAGGAGGCAATAACAGGAGAAAGAGGGTACAAGATGGAGAGAAGAGACGAAGGAGAGGAGAGAAAAGAAGAAAAAAAGTTGGGAAGGATGGACGAATGGACAGACAGATAGCCCCAACAGGGAGGCTCACCAGCCCCCTGGCCACACCCAACCCACACCCCAATTCAGGCTATGGCTCCTGGGTTCTCATTTTCAGGGATAGGCAGAGATGGGCCCCTGAGGGCTGGGGCTGCTGGATCACACCTTGAGACAGCCTCAGGGGATGGCACTCCTGCCCAGAGGGGCCCCCTTGTTCCAGACCCACACTTTAGGCCTAGGCCTGTTCTTGGGGGAAGAATCAAAGAAGAGAAGCACAGCATTCTGGGGGATGTGAGGCTGTGTGTGAGGGGAGGTTGTGGGGACCAGGTAAGCAGGTAAAAGAGGGGACAAAGGGGCACTCACCATTCTGCCTGGGCCCCGGGCCCCTGGCCCTGCACCACTGCCCCCACCTCCACGCCCCAGGCTGGCACTGGGTGTGCTGCCACAGCTGCTGCTGATGACCTGCAGCTGACGCTCAGCACGGTCGGCCCGCTCCAGGAGTTCCTCGATGAACTGCTGCAGGCGCAGCTTGGCACTAGCCTCCCGCGCTGCTGTCTCCTTCAGGAACTGGTCAATCTGTACCACCTCCCTGGGCCCAGAGCAGGCTTTTACCCTAGAGCCTCTGCTGGTTGACCTGCCACCCTCCCTTGTGGGGAGACACAGGGCACAGCTGCCCATGATGTCACAGCCCCCCACATCTAACCCATAACCAGACACATCATCCTCACACAAAAACACAGACACCCAGTTACCTATGGCCTCAATATACAGCCTCCCCACAAAGGAACAGCGCTAGGCACACACTTAGAGCCACACAGCCATGTGCACATACCCGCTCAGTACACATTCATGAATGTGCCCTCATCGTGTATCCATTCCAGGCACATACTCACAGTCTGAGACATGCAAAGCATCATGGAGGCACAGTCTCACTGACACACTCAAACACACACACACACACTTTCTGAAAGATTGAAAAATGTATTCAGTCACTTCAATACATAGGGAAATACACTAAGATGCAGAACCTCTAGGAGTTGCACAAACACATGGCACACCTTACAGATTACCTGAGTCTATATTCCCCAAAGCATCCATGGTTGTTCATGCATCTGTTCAACATTTATTGAGTACCTTATAAGTGCTAGGCACTGTTCTAGATGTTGGGGAAGCATCCATGAACAAAAGTAGAAACTCCCTGCCTTCATGGAGCTTATATTGCAATGGGGACAGATAAATAACATCTGTAGCCAAGCACTGTGGCACATGCTTATAATCCTGTGACTTGGAAAATGGGAGGAATATCAGGCTATGCATTTTAAAATAAAAAATAAATTTAAAAGGCTGGCTCTCATAGTTTTGTTGGTAAAGATGGAATCCTGGGTTCCATCACCAGTACCAGAAAAAAAAAAAAAAAAACAACTAAACCTAACATTTGAATAGTTCATAATCCTTCATTTAAAGACCAGAGAAGTGAGGCAAAGTCAGCAAAGAAGAAGGAACAGACCAAAAAAAAAAAAAAAAAAAAAAAAAAGGAGGGGGGATCCTAGGAGAGCCAAGTGAAGAAAGTGTTTCAAAGATCTGCTGTGGATAGGCCAAGAAAGAGGGTAACTTGGCCTTAGCAACATGGTCAAAGACAGTGGTGGAACTGGAAACCTGATCAGAGTGGGTTCAAGAAAAAATGTGAGAAAATAAATTGGAGACCAGGAATACTTTCATGAATTTTTTTCTGTATGAGGCAGCAGCTTAAGGGAAAGTAAAGTTAAATGGGAAACATGACATCATGTTTGCATCCTTTTAGGAATGATAGATAGATAGATTGACTGATTTTGATGATAGGAAAGGGAGAGGGGAGAATCGGGCCACACCTTTGAGTAGGACAAAGGGAAGAGGATCCAGTGCCAAAATGCCGAGGCTGGTCTTGGCTGAGTCAGAGCAGGGTCAGAAACAGACACTGTCTTCATAGATAGGCACATGCATGATCATGCTGCCATGTACTTGTGGTCCTGCACACACACGATCATGACACTCTGGGACCCACACACACCAATATTACAAGTTCATGACCATAGACCCCCTATTACCTAGCCATGACTACAAAGAGACATGCATGTTCAGGGTGGTTGTGATGGCACACGCGCACACCCACCAGCAGGGCCCTGAGGGCCTACTCACTGCTGCTTGCGGCTCAGCTCCTGTTCCTTGTGCACTAGGTCCTGCTTGAGAGAGGCCAGCAGCTCCACGCTCACATCCACCTGCCGCGAGAGCTCAGACGCTCGCTCCTCCAGCTCCTCCTTCTCGCGCCCCAGTCGAGCGCTCTCCTGCCTAGCAGTCTCCAGCTCTGCGGCTTTGCGCTCCAGCTCTGCCTGCAGCCGGCCCACTTGGCCCGCAATCTTCTGCTCCACCTCCTCGCTCAGCCTCTCCAGCCGCCGGTCCACCTCCAACTTCTCCAGCGCGCGTATCTTGAGGCGCGCCAGGCCCTCCTCGTAAGCCACATCAGCTGGCGAGGGGGAGGCGGGCGAGGCCGAAGCCGGGCCTGGGCCGGGCCCTGGCGGCGGCGTCGAGCACGCAGAGGATGCCACGGACTTGCGGGCGAACAGCTCTCCCAGCGGGATCTCTATCTCACGCAGCGCATAGCGTGCGGCAGCGGTGGGCACGAGACCCGGCTCACCCAGCTCCTCGCAGGGCAGGCTGGCGGGCACCAAGTCGCCGGGGAAATGGGCGAGGGGTGCGTGGTGGTGGTGGTGGTGCAGCAGGTGCGGCGTTGCAGGCGACGGCCCAGCGGCCTGCTCCTTGCCCTGAAAGGACGTGCTCTCAAAGACCTCGCGCCGGGCTCCGGGCACAGCCAGGAGGGCGGCGGGCTCGGGCGCCAGCGGGAAGCCAGAGGCTGCGGCTGCAGCAGCTGCTGCAGCTGCGGCGCCGTCGCAAATGCTGTTGGTCTTGGAGAGGATGTAGAGAGTCTCATAGGTGTGGCTGTACTCTAGGTGGGCGCGCAGGGACGACAGGCTCCGGAAGCGCTTGTGCTCCCCGCAGCGGGGGCAGCGGTATGGCAGGTCCAGCGAGGCCATGGCCCCGCCGCCCCCGCGGCGTGTTGGCTCCACCGCGGCCGCCCAGCGGGTCAGCCGGGCGCGCTCATGGGGGGCCGCGGGCGAGCCCCCCTGCAGAATCAGTAAGGCTCAGGGTGCCCGCGACCAGGGTCGAGGAGGCTACAAGAGAGGGAATAAGTCTTAAGAGGATGATTCTCCTCTTCCAGCGACACCTCCCAGGCCCTGGGCCGGAATCCCCAATCAAGTGTAAATTGACTTTCCCAGGAAACACGTGCCCGGAATGGAGGGGCCTTGGGAGACCTATGGCAGAACTCTCAGAGGGGAGTGTACTGCTGTGGCACCTGTGCAGGGCCTGTACATAGGTGGATGAGAGAGAAGCGAGGGTGGGGGAGGGGAGGGGAGGTGAGGGGGAGAGGGGGAGGGGAGGGGAGAGGGCGCAGGGAGGGGGAGAGGGCGCAGGGAGGGGGAGAGGGAGAAATAATTCTTTTTAAAAATACAGTAATTTTTTTTAAAAAAAATGAATCAGTTTTATGTTTAATGGCTCTGTTCTGGAAACAACCCAAGTGCTCACAAACAACAGAATGGATAAACTGTGGTATATTCATAATGGAATGCTACCCAGTAATAAAAGGAACTACAGATACGCACAGCAATATGGATGAATCCACTTAGTATTATTTTGCAGGAAAGAAGCCAGACCAGAGTGCATACGACAAATTCCACAGAGATGGGAGTTCAAGAATAGACAAAATTGATGATGACAGAAATCAGAACAGAGGTTATCCCTGGGGCTCTGCGGTTTTGCGTTCCAGCTCTGTAAGGACTGGGAAGAGGTTAGGAGAGAATCTTAGGTGATACTGAAAATGTTCTATATCTTGAGCTGAGCAGTGTATACAGGTGTAGATAATCATCAAGCTGTACACAAAATATCACTGCCTTATATGTACTTTAGTGTATGTTAAATCTAAAAATATCCTTAAAAGAAGATGCTTAACCAATTGCGGTGGCACATGCCTGTAATCCCAGAGATTTGAGAGGCTGAGTGGGAGGACCAAAAGTTTGAGGCCAGCCTCTGCAAGTTAGCCTTACCCTGTCTCCCAAAAGAGTGGGGCTGGGCTGGGCTGGGGAAGTGGCTCAGTGGTAGAACATCCTTGGGTTCAGTCCCCAGCACAGGGAAAAAAAAAAAAAAAAGCTTATTTCTATCTCATGCAAACCGCATCCATTACACAACCTGTATTATTAGTACTATGTTGCAGTGACAAAGATGTCTCTCCACTTGGGTATCATTAATGATACCTGTATGTGTCACTGTTCCCATCCCTGCTACTCCAGGCACATAGGTCCTTTTGTCAAACCTAGAAAAAGCTAAATAGGCCTCCAATAAGTGTACCTACCTTGCCCTTCACTCTAAGGGTCCTATTTATCTGTTCTCCTCACACCCTTTCTGGCACAATCCCCTCCTCACCCTCAGCCCCTCCTGCCCCACCCCACCCCCACACACTTCTGGCTCCCCTGGCTTGTGGAGTTTCCGCTCCCTCACTGCTGGTTTTTCCTAAGTGCTTGCATTTGGGCTCGAACACCTTCTGCTGTCCCCATGTTCCTCAGAGTCACAGATTACCCACTAATGGAATAATCTAGCTGTCCTCAAGGATCTTCACCCACTTGGTCTTTTGGTGGATACTTTTGGTCCCTGCATCTTCACAGGCTGCCAGGATGATGCCCTGTTTGGAGTTTCCTCCTGGTTCTGTGACTTTCTGTTTTTGCTACCTCCCTACATTTCCTATCTCTTCCAGAGGTGCCCCATTCAGCCTCTATCCTTCTCCCAGGCAATCTGGTTCACTCACAGATTCATTCACACCTTGAAGCTGCGGACTCACAGATCTGCCTCTTCATCCTGACCAGTTCCTGAGTTCTGTTTGCCTTTTCCCATTTCCACATGGCTGTATGAGTAGATGTCTATTCCCTTTGACACCCAGCACCCAGTCCTCCTGTAGGCATCAGCACTCTTCTTTAACCCTGGGGAGCCAGCCTTCCTTTGCCACATTCTCAGTCCATCCATATGGCCTGAGGGATGTGACATGAGCCCGGCCAATCACAGTCCTAGGATGAGCAGGCACCCAATTTGAGCCAGTGAACCTCAAAATCTTCTGGAACTACTGGGAAGAAGCAGTAATTCCAGTAAAAACCCAATCCTTTTTGGGTTTGGGTTTTTAAGTTGATGGAGAGGGCCAGAGCTACTAGGCCATCTTTGTTTCCTTTGGGAAGGAACCACCTAGGAATGAAGCCAATCCAGAAAAGCAGAACTAAGACGGGGAGAGAAATTCTTCAGAGACACTGCAAGATCCTGGCCTGCTCAATTACATGAACCAATCAACTCCTTTTTTTTTTTTTGCTTAAGTTAGTTACAGTTGGGTCTATGTTCTTGATCAGGGAAAAATCCTGATACAAGAAATTGGAAACAGGGTTTGGGGTAGAGCACTTGCATAGCACATTGAGGCACTGGGTTCAATCCCCAGCACCACATAAAACTAAATAAACAAAATAAAGGTATTTTTTATATTTAAAATATTTTGGAAAAAAAAGAAGAAATTGGGATCAGTCAGGTGTGATGGCACACACCTGTAATTCTGGTGACTCAGGATGCTGAGGCAGGAGGATCCCAAGTTCAAAGCCACCCTCAGCAACTTAGTGAAGCCCTAAGCAACTTAGCAAGACCCTGTCTCAAAATAAAAAAAAAAAATTTAAAAAAAAAGGGGGCTGGGAATGTGGCTTAGTGGTTAAGCACCCTGAGTTCAATGCTTGGTATCAAAAGAAAAAAAAAGAAAAGAAATTAGAATCAGAGATAGAATTTTTTTTTTCAAATAATAAACCCAAAAAAGAATTAGCTTAACTAAGGGGAGAAGCCTAAGTTAGGACTGCTTCCTGCACCCTACTTAGAAGTTGTTGAGCCTTGTCATGCAGTAGCAAAGCAGCTGATTAAATGATCTCCTACTGCCCCTGAAACTTTAAGGGACTTGCAGAAAAATGTCACAATATTGGCAGTGAGGCCTTTGTGGTGGCCTGAGTCAGGTCCAATAAGAAAGAGACACTCTGGCTGAAAGGAGCCCATCTAAAAGCAGAGGAAGAAAATGGCTTGCCCAAAGAGGCCCTTTCTACCTGGGGCCAGTAATCCAATGTGGCTGAGAGTAAGATAATTAAGAGCCAGTTCTCTGCTTCCAACTAAAGTCAGCTCAAGCAAGGAGAGAGAGGCTGGAAACTCAGAGGGAGATCAGCCTGGGGCCTGAAAAGCTCTAGACTCCTCAGGTCCTGCTGTGCCCTCCCAGCACCACAGAAACTTCCATTATGAGCAGGTTTTTGTTGGAAAGCAGCTTGAGAAGAAAGGGAAAAGATTTCTGCCTCCCACCAGGGGTTTATACTGCCCTGAGGGAGAGGCCCAGCTAGAGGCCCCCAAACCCTAGGCTATTGCGATGGCCAAGCACCTAGGCCTGTTGCTAAGAGACAACCCTTCTCCTCCCTCATCACTAACACCAGGGACTCCATTCAAGAATTATAACTTTCAAAGGAAGGTCTCTAGCTTTGACTAATAGCTCTGGGGTTGATGGAAGGCAAACTGACTGAAAGGCCTTCTAATGATTAAGGGAATTACACTGCCAGAAAAATCTAGCAAACCTAGAAAACAAAGGCCAGGATTACTTAGTCCTAAGGTCTCCCCTGCTACCTTTCCCTCCCCCACCAACCCTGTACTCCTCAGTCCCCCTCTCCCATGTGACTACAGAGCACCAAGATTGAAGACAGCAGAATCAAAGCAACAGGCTGGTGGGACAGGGAACCTCTTCCTTACCATCTAAGTTAACCTGGTGGGCCACGAAGCAGGTGTTTTTCCTTCCCTTCAGGTTTGCCTCCATCGTAGTAGTGTGACCACAAACTGAAAGACCCTGAGAGCCTCGCTCAGTACCTCATCAGACCAGGCATCGCCAGATCTTGAACTGGGGCTGGACGTAGTAATGGAAAGAGAATATGAAACCACTCCTTCTAGAGATGGGAGACCAGGTTGAAAGTTTTGTGAGGAATAGGTGCATTATGATAAACAAGGAAATATTTTTAAAAATTATTTAGGAGAGAGGTAAGGGTCTTAAATAGCCACGAAGTAGAATTTAATATTTTTTTAAACATTTATTGCTTTTGCTGCTTGGCTTTACCCTTCTTTGTGGACTGACACCCCATTTTCCTTTAGAGAATCATTTCCTCCACTTTGAATGAGTTTGGGTAGAGCTGACCCCAACCCCTGCCCCCAAAGAGCACATATGACCTCAGTCTGCTTCATTAGAGCACCGGAGATCAGGTCAGTAATGCTCATGTTTCTCAATCTGGATCAATTCAGGCACCCTAGGACTGTGCTCAGCTGGCAGGACATGAACCTGGAACTGCTTGTGGGCATTTCTGTGATATCACTTGAACTTTTCACCTAGGACTTGTTAATTACATGGGGCAGCAAAAGCTTTTGTAATTTGCATCATTTAAGTCAATTGAGTAATGAGGTTCCAGAGGCAAACAATGATCCATAGTGTCAAAAACACAACCCAGGCTTTCCCTCACTCCTCCCTCCCCTGCATCAGTTTCCTTCAACAGTGCCTCTGTCCTTCCAGCCACACCACTGGCCATCCTGATTTCTCCCTCCCTGCTAACCATCAAGACCTGCTGGTTTTTCCTTCTGGATGCATTTTAATCCAATTGTTCTTTTCTTGTCACGTGCTTTGTGCTCTGATGGGTCACATCTCCTCGCACCTGGACTGCTGGCCCAGCCTGCCTCACAGTTCTTTTCTATCCTATATAAGGCACCATACCCACTTTCTGCAGATGGCTCCTGCTTAGACACCTTCAATGGCTCCCCATGGTCTACCAAATGGAGCCACACTCCTTAGCTCCATGGTTTGGCCTCATTGTACTCTTGCCAATTTCAAAGTGAAAAAAATGGTCTGTTTCACTTGCATTTCTTTCAAAGAAATGGTTGGACATTTTCCCACACATTTGTCAATCATTATAGCTACAAATGACTTTTTGCCTTTACACTACTTTGCTCATTTTTATACTGTACATTCATATTATCGATTTGCAAAGGCTTTTGTAATATTGATCCTTATATACTGCAGATATTTTTC